TATATACATATACGTACATGTATTTATTAGGACATTTGTTGACTTTTTATGTTGGCATTTAAAAACTGACCCTCACACCTTGGCACATCAACGAGAATCCTGATCCCCATCATGCCCATCCCCAACCCTACCTTCAGCCTCCTTCCTGCCTTCGACAGCGAGCCATGGCGGCTTCGCCGTTCTAGTTATTGAAAATTATCAGTGTTGTCGATTTTTGCATGCATTTAGTGAATTTTTTTGGTGGCATAACTATAACTTTATTACATTTATTCCTAGGGGATTGGTGAACTTGTACAGCTTCGTAACCTTAATTTGGCTGCCAACAGAATTGAACAAATTGGTAAGTACAATGTAGTTAACCTTGGATATTGGGTCATGTTATAAAAAAACACTAGCAATTGCCTAAATTACAGTACTTGATTGTGCCCTGAACATATTATTGGTTGAACGTTCACAATCCTCACGTAGGCATGCGCAATACTATTAGTGAGTCAGTATTTTATAGTCCTACTAAACTCACAACGCAGTGCATTCTGCGCGACATCGTGCAGTACGCGTGACATGCGCGCCAATCTTCATAAGAGGAGTTGTTTACATCTTACTCGCGAGCTGGACACTCCATTATTTAGCTAGAGGGGTGTTTCACAAAACATGGAGTGAACTTATTGAACAAAATCGGGGTTTTTCGACTGAAAAGTTTTGAAATTTTTTTTACCAAAAAAGGTATGTATGAATGGGAATAAATATGTGCTTGGTCGGCATTTATCACTCTGTTTAAGACGGCTTGCAGTCCGAGTGCTGATAATTACCCTTGCCTTCAGCTCGGGTAATTATCAGCACCCTCACTCCAAGCGGTCTTAAACAGAGTGATTAAAACATATCAAACGCACAATTATACCCTTAATAATAATAATAATTACCTTTAATTGGACATTTGGGAGACATTCCCATAGACTTGTGCATTTTTCAAACTTAAATGTGCCATAACCCAATATTCCCTTGTCCCTTTTCCTCAAATTTCGGTATTTTTACTAATGAGACCATGAGCAACAAAAATAACCTAATTGCAATGATAGAATTTTGCCTCTAAAGGGGGGGGGGGCTGTGACATTAGGGAGACATGAAAATTACGATATCATGTCTCCTTAATGTTACATTTAGACGTATAACAGGTTCTTATATAGCGCTTTTAACTAAGTGGAGTGTCATGGCCTAGCGGTTAAGAACACCGGACTCATGCTCTGGTGTTTCAGAGGCAACAGTGGCGTGGGTTCGAGCCTGGGCCCGGACACTTGTGCCCTTGAGCAAGGCACTTAATCATTATTGTTTCGTCCTTTGGATGGGACGTAAAGCCGTAGGTCCCATGTGTTGTGTAATGCACGTTAAAGACCCCAGTAACACTTATCGCTAAAGAGAAGGGGTTTGCCCCGGTGTTTCTGGCAGTGGCTGCAATATGCGCCTCAGCACCTTGTAACCCTTAAAGGTGCTACATAATGGGTCTCATATTTCTCATATTGAGGGCCTCCATGGAAAGCAGTGCCCTGCACTGATCGGAGCTACCCTCACTAAAGATGACGTAAATAAAATAAGATTAAAGCGCTTTACATTATTATTACCCTGATCATTGGGCCAAGTAAACATTCCAACTACCATCTTGGCTCCCAGGGGAGTTACAGCTTGATGAGTGACAAAGTGCCTTGCCCAAGGGCACACGCACCATGACCCCAGGCTGGACTCGAACCCACAACCTGCAGCTTAACCCGCAGACCACAAATCCAGTGCCCTTAACCACGAGGCCACAGCACTCCACATATCCTCGCTTTGCAGTGCATTCCTAGAAAATAGATGATTTCGCAGAAATACATTTCTGGATGAATACTGTCACTTTTTTTTCTTCATCATTTGAGTTGGATTTAAGGATCAAATTATATATTCCGTACTTCGTGTGGAAATTCATGGAAAATTCATTTAAAATACAGATTTTGTCAAATCTGACCATAAAAATGTTCAGACATTCAACTTTTTGCATTTGTACAATTGGTCGTGAACAAAATCTGATAATTTATATTGTTGCGCATTCATCTTGTTTCATGCGATGGGGTCGAATACATTGCCTGGCTCTGCATATGAAAGCTGAAAAAAAGTACAAGACACAGACTCGGTATGCATTCTTCAGCATACAGTCTGGCTGTTTTTCATGTCGCTAAAGCGCCCTCTATCTACTTTGGGCTATAAGACTGGTTTTGTAGTTATTTTTTACATACCGGTACAGACACTAGTACTAATGCACGTCAGAACTTGTTCGAAAATCTAGGCCTTGTCAAATTTGGCATTGTAAAAATGCCATGAAAACATCGATGGAGAAAGAAGATTTCTCCAACTCAATTCACATAATATGATCTCTCTTTTCTGTGTATATATTTTCCACTTTATACCCGATTGTTTTTTACGGGCATTTTATGCTCGTAGTTGCACCAGTACCGCGTGGCCAGTTCTCATTGTGGCAGTCCACGCTTGCTAACACATGGTAAATGGACTGTTGACCACTTTCCCTTCGTGACTGACTTGCAATAGTGGTGTGCACGACAGACGAGCAATATTTTACAAATGAGCATTGTTAAGATCATAATTGTTGGGGGACAATACATGTACGTTCAAAATCAGAGCAATAAATATTACGAGATCATTACCGTAGTGATTTTACAGTAGTGACAGACCCGCACGCGTCGTAACTGTTGGTCAGCGCATGGTTTGAAATCATCACACTCACGGCACACTCTCGCAGTTCTCTTTTGCTCCAATGGCAGGTTTATTTTCTCCGTTCATTTATCAACCATTGATTTGCATTTCATCTTAACTTTTGCTGTACATGTGCTTTTTGCGTTTATCGAGGTCCAAAAATCTACCGCAAACTATATATTATTTTGTCGCCTAACGTTAGCGCGAAAACAAAATGGCAGACATGAATTTCGCTTCGGCCAGCTGATTTGTGTGACGTCATGGCAAATACAGTTATCATTTAAACACCATTCTTCACAATAACCAATCAAATCATCCTGATTTTGGTATTTGTGCTTGCAGCAGCAACCGGGTACGACCCAATGTTTTAATTACATCTTTCAATAATTCGAACCTTTAAAGACTTGATAGTATTTACAGAACTATCATCTATTATCTAGGCGTAAGAGCCTTTCATTATAGACACATTTAAGTAATCAATTAATTATACAGAATTATACCTGAGACAACACTCGTTTTTGCAATTGTTATGATTATTTCTAAATATTCGCACCCCATTTGATATTATGTTTAGTCTCATCGCTGTGATGAGGTACGACAGTGTTTTAATTACGGTCATTCAATAATTTGAACCTTAAAGACGTCTTGATAGAGACAATATTTACAGAACTAGGGTCTATCATTTAGGCGTAAGAGCCTTTCATTTAGCATATTTGCGTAATCAATAATAGAATTAACCTTGAGACTTCCCTCCTCTTTACAATTGTAATGGTTATTTCTGAATATTCGTATCACATTTGATATTATATTGAGGCAAGCTTTTCAGAACTAACTTTTTTGGTTTTGTACAATACCAAATACCATACCTTCCGTTGAGGATAAATCACGCATACTATGGTGCCAGTCTATTCAGACTTGTTCGCGTTCTGAACGCATTAGATCGCTAGTACAATTCTAGCATCTCATCTAGTAGATCTGATCTTTATGAATGTTACTGCCAACCTGCAAATCTCGTTTTATACCTCCGTCAGAGACTACTCTGACCATACCTTGATTGCCACTTGTGGATTTCATTTGAACCTTTAAGCTTTACAGAACTATCCTTTAGGCTTCAGAGCCTTTAGCCTTTAACTATTCTTAATTGAATAATCGCAAGATACCACTCGTCTATTACATTATGGCTGTTTCTGGATTTGTACCCCATTTAACATTGCTGTGTTGACTGCCAGATACGAAAAACCAAAACCATATTTGGAAAAATGGAAACGTACAACTGAACTATGCAAGACAACTCCTTCAGGCAAGGGTGGCAATGTTCGTCTCTTATAAATACTGTTTGAGACATAGAACAACTATGAAATTACAACCAGACTTAACAACTGTGTTAAAAATTGTGTGTTGTCGTTGCTGCTCGCAAGCGTGAAGTGATCTACCTTCAATCCAACCACGCACACATTCCTGTGCCACTCCCTATTCAAATTACCCGCCCTTAACCACTCTACCGTGTCTTATTTACATATCAATGATAAAGTAGATTTATTCTAATTCATCCCGGTACTCAACCGAATAAATATTTATCATTTAAACACCATTCTACACAATAACCAATCAAATCATCCTGATTTTGGTATTTGTGCTTGCAGCAGCAACCGGTATGAACTATAAAGAACGGGTCTGTAATACTGAATCCCCAAAAGGATTTAGATATTTAACATCATATTGCAATCACTCTCTTGGATATATTAAAGTATCCTTCGCTGTCTCTGATATAGCGTCCATGACACTTGAACAGCCTGTTGGATATCTGCTTTGATAGCCACTAAGACCCAAACAGCATTATGGGGCTGTTCTGGGAAAACTCTAACTTTCCCTCTCAAACTCACGAGTACTTCATCGGTTTATACTTCTATGAAATCACTTTATACTCTTCTTTAACATTTGTTTCGGTTTCTGAACACAAAAGAAGGTCTTTATCTGAAGGGGAGACTTTGACTCACTTGATATACAATTCTAACATTGCAACTGTACATGTTGACAATAATTAGCTCGCAATAATAACTGAATTCACTTGGCCGAGTGCATGAGATAACACGTAAATACTTCAATTAAAGTGCAGCTAACTCACTGAGCCGATAAGACCCGGCATATGAAATAAGGGCCTTGACCAGGATTCTTATATGAAATAAGATGTGTACTGAACGGTCTTTACCCTATTTTGGGTAAAATAAGAAAGAATATCTGGTGTAATTGTATCCTTCTTTGGCTTAACCAGTGTTCTTGTCAGACCTTTAGCGCGTTGTATGACACCAGAGGGTCTTTGGTTGTATCATGGTCCCAACTAGCCATGAGATGAACCCATGACATGGCAGCTAGAGAGTTTGTGACTGTAGGTGCATGGTGATGTTGCACAGTTCCAATATGGATCAGGTATAAGGCTACCATGTAAGGATCTGCGGGTAGGGATGATATTCCGTGCAACTCTGCCCATTGTTGCCATCTCGTGAAGGATGAGTTGTACTGCCAGACTGTTGATGGGGCTTGTGACTCGAGTAGCATGGAAGGCAGTTGACTGGCGAGACTATATCCAGCTCTTGACTTTTGGCCGATTGAGGAATCCGCTGCCTCCAATTATTGCTGTTGAAGATGAGCTTCCAAAAAGGAAATAAACAATGATTGTTACTTTAACGAGATTAAAATCATACGTCAACTTATTAAACACTTTCTTTATTAAGTGCATTTAATTAAAAGCGAATTTCCCACTGCTTATTGCTACAACTATTCTCTGAATACAAAAGAAAAGCTTATTTGCCAAATCTGAATCATCATCCGCTGGGGATATCAATTGTAACTTTTACAATACCCAACATCCGCTGAGGATATCACCATATTTTGGTTCAAGTCTGCTGAGACTGTCTTGTTCGCGTTCTGAACGCATCTCGTTTTATACTTCTGTCAGAAAGGACTCTGACCCTTACTTTTTTGCCACGTAAACCACTAAACTCTTGTATGGTGATACTCGTGGCTTTCATATTAAACCAATGGGGTTATCTTGGCCAAGACTTAGCCAAGTAATAAACTAGGCTGACAATGCATGTTTCCATAGGAGGGTTAACTTAAGGCCAATTTTACTGCTTTCGATTCTCTCCGAGTCGCGCTTCAGGTCATCTCGCCATCTGACCGATGCCCAAATATTCTATTGAATCCCTTTTGTACTGCCAGTGCGTCCAGCGTCAGTGGAACAGTTTTGAAAATGAAGGAAATTTTGCTCCGAACAAGACTAGTGAACTTTGTTGAGAAACAGATGTATACAGTGAAACAGGATTCTAATTATCTTTGGACTTACGAATCTCAAGTCAAGCCTACTAGAACTAAATTTTCTTTCTGGTTTTGAAGGAACTGGCAAACTCAATCATCGTCTAAAAGACATCTTGTATTTCTACACTTCTCCGCTTTCGCACTAGACAAAACACTTTGCTAATCCAAGTGCATTCTCCGCTTAAGTTGAGCATGTGCTCTCTGACTTTCTAAAAGCAATTGTTATAAGATGGAATAAGATGGCAAATCTCTAAACCATCATTAAGCAAGTCATCTATACATGACATGTATGCATAATTCTGCATTTCTCACCTTCTGAACCAACTTCCTCACCACTTCAACCCCGTTTTGCGCATTTTAGAACCAACCACTTTTGGTTTGAGCACTGTGCTCTCTAGTCTATGACTTTCTGAAGGAAACTGGAGTGTCCCAAGCTGTCTTCTAAGACAACTATCCTTGTTCTTGCAATTGCCCCTTTTTCCAGCTGTCGTACTATTTTGGTACAATTTAAAGACACATATGATAGTAGGAATTGGAACAAATTGGAAAAAACAATTTCTGTGAAACTGAGGAAAACCTGATTGGTCAAACGCTCACAAGGTGATATTTAAGATTTTCAGATCAAACTTCAACATGAATCATACATGTTGTCAAGGAACAAAGAAATATGGGCGTATCACCAACTTTGACTGATTGATGCCAGGGCTATCTACTCCCTTTTCCAACGACATTCACCTGTTGTCAATGAATTGAAACTAACAAAGGATTAATGATAAACGGCTTTATTATGGGTTTCCAACAATTGTATATGGCAGAACATCGATTCAATCTAGGGCCTATATTTCGTCTCGAACAAGTAGAGTGTGGGTTTTCTGAAATTGACCATTTTCTGGGACTGGTTACATCCTATAACAAAAGAACTAGAGTACAAGTCCCCACAATTCATGGTGGGAAAGTAAATCTCCAGAACCCTCTTTGTTCGGAACCAGAATTCTCTCCGTTCTCAAAAAAATTTCTGTGAATTTCAACATCTGCAACTACATTTTTGCAAATTAAAAATACTGTAATTTAACTTAGCTTCGTAAACTGGCTTTCTGCTTTCTGCTCTCCGATCCTCGGTCCCTCTGCTATTGACAACTGTCTTGTCTTGATTGATGCCGATGTAGGCGAGCTCTGTTGTCAGTAGCCTTGAGTGTAATGTAACTTCTTAAAATGAGATGTCGAATTTACTTTAGGAGAGTAAAACTGCCGTCTCTCCCATTTGCTGAAATAACGCAATGGAAGTACAGCGCCACAAAATTGTGTGTTGTCGTTACTGCTCGCAAGCGTGAAGTGATCTACCTTCAATCCAACCACACACACATTCCTGTGCCACTCCCTATTCAAATTACCCGCCCTTAACCACTCTACCGTGTCTCATTTACATATCAATGATAAAGTAGATTTATTCTAATTCGTCCCGAATAAATCAATATCTATTGCATGTTTCTAACTTGTGTGTTGGTGGGAGTGCAGTATTAATGACTTGACTGTGGTGAAGTTAAATACTACGTCTGTAAATTGGTCGGCCGTTGATAAAATAGCAATTTTTGGGGGGCAGTTTTCCCCCATTCCAACCAAACGACAATTTCGTCTCAGTGTACATGGTGTTTGTTTAAATGCGCTATACATGTAATATGTATTGAAAATATTTGAAACAGACTTTTTCAGCATCAATTGGAACTTAGGATTTTGGAAACAGAAATTTATACTTTTCTGAAACAGAAGGGCATTGGCCCTAAACAGTTTGTGACCTACCATTGCTATTTTAAAAAAAAATGGCATGCAGGCCTAGAATAAGAACACCTAACCGACACCTGCACTGCAAAGTGTCAAAACAATTTTTGTTAACTTCATAATAAAAGGTAAGAATACGAACAAAAATACCGGGTATGAAGCATTTTTTTAAATGACAAGGATACCTTAAATCTGTCACTTAAATCTGTCTGTTAAAAGGTCATTAGCTGCTCAGTACGTACAACACAGCATATAGAATTCCAAATGTATCCCATTCTATGCCGTATAGGCTTTGCACTTCTCGCTCAACAAGATGGCGTGTAATGTGTAACAGCAGTTTAGGTTTGTTACGTTATTTTGTAAGAACTGTTCATAAATTGTTGGCCAGTTTCATTTGTTGGGAGCTTGCAATGTTTATAGCAAAAATTGAGAGACCAAGATCTTGCTTTGATTATCAAAACTCAAAGGTCTTCTCAAGTGTCACACTTTTGGACCCATTAGTGTGGAATTGTTCATCATGTATTAGGGTTCATATGTGTGGTTAGATGTGTTCCTCTATGTAATGGATGATCATTGAAGTTTATCTTAAATTATCCACAAGCATCACCTTTGTGTTTGTCTCACAAACATTTTCCCAAAATAAAGCCAACAACTGACTAAATATGCAGATATGGATGGGATTTGAAGATGAAAGGATCAATTCAATGAGGAACTAGAACAATACCTGAAGCTGTAAATGTCGGGCAGTGGAAGCTAAATATTTGACATTTAGCAGATGTTTTCATGCATTAGGGTAGCTTCACTTTTATTCATTTAGCCAACAAATAGAATCTTCAATGAGTGTCTAATAAAATAAAATTGTATTAAATTTTCAGGACATTGTTTGGATGTGAACAGAAACCTGGAAGCATTAAACCTGTCTGGAAATAACATCTCTTCCTTCAGAGTAAGTTTTAATGAAATACATGTATACTTTATCTGTTCTAATCAGTGTTATTTTCACCCTACGCCCCTCTCCTATAATGAGTTTGAACCCAGTACCAGTGCAAAGACACTTATTATGCTGGTCATTCTCACTTCCATGTTTAGGCACTTGAAGGTGTTTTGTACCAGTCCAGTCTTTATTCCAGGTTCTTGTGGTCTTTTCTCATGCTGCTAATAGGAAGGATGGTATCACTTAGGGTCAAGTATTGTCACATGCTTAAAGCTACAATCCATCATTTGCAGCTATCAAAAAAGTGACTGACGTAATTATTGTTGAAAAACATACTTGGTTGAAAGATAGCAAGGAGTCTAAAACTTCCTGTGAAATTATTCTTTCTGGTATCCTGTCATTTTGTAAGAAATCAACGAAAGAAGGCCTTTCCAACGATGCGTCTTCCGTCAGTTTTTATGCCCTGCGGCGAAGCCGAAGGGGCATACTGTTTCCGCCTTGTCCTTCCGTGGGTGGGTGGGTGTGTGTGTGTGTTGGGGGGGGGGGGGTTGGGTGTGGGTGTTCCTGCATGGCATTACGCCTGAGGACAGACAACAAAAGGAGCACAAAGGGGCCATTGATCCTCGAAGGAAGGTGCCTATTGTCCTTGAACGCAGGTTTGTGTGCTTAGTCTATGGGAGAGTGTTATATTACAGGGACAAAGGAAAACACAAAGCCAATCCTCGGAAGCATAGCAAAAAACGACTGTGTGTGTGTGTGTGTGTCTGGACAAATCTTGTCAGCGCAATAACTTGAGAAATACTTTACATATGAACTTCAAATTTGGTTTGTGTATTGTTCCTGGTAATCCTAAGAAGCCTATTGCATTTGGGGCCGAAAGGTCAAGGGTCAAGGTCACAGTGGCTGAAACAATAGAAATGTTGTCAGCGGGATAACTTGAGAAATACTTTACATGTGAACTTCAAATTTGGTTTGTGGAATGTCCTTGGCAATCCTAAGAAGCCTTTTGCATTTGGGGCCAAAAGGTCAAGGGTCAAGGTCACAGTGGCTAAAACAAAAGAAATTTTGTCAGCGCGATAACTTGAGATATACTTTACATATGAACTTTAAATTTAGTTTGTGGATTGTCCTTGGCAATCCTAAGAAGCCTATTGCATTTGGGGCCAAGGGTCAAGGTCACAGTGGCTAAAACATAAGAAATTTTGTCAGCGCGATAACTTGAGAAATACTTTACATGTGAACTTCAAATTTGGTTTGAGGATCATTCTTGGTAATCCAAAAGGCCTATCGCATTGGAAAGGTCAAGGGTCAAGGTCACAGTGGCTAAAACAATAGAAATCTTGTATTTATTCTATGATCATAGGGATTAGGGATTAATTCATATAAAACCTACAGAAGACACTAATGCTGTCAATGAACGTTCCATGTGACCAAGGTACATGTAAGTTGATGTTAAAAGAGTGGTGTTATGTCATGGGAACTGTCACACGATTGCGGGGCATTTGTGTTTGTAAACACACCTGACTTGTTTTTTTATACAGTGAAGCGCACGCAAGCGTTGACATGACGCACATGCGCACACTCTATAATTCGTCGGATCAGTGCGCGACACCGCATAGCTGCATTCAGCTCATTACGAACCTGTCTCGGATGCTGAATTCAGGCCCAATTCAAAACATGGTTTAGCAACTTTTGATTTGAAATCAAGATCCTAGAATTTTTTTTTCGAAAAATACAGCTGAAGCTGAGCTGAAACTTCATCAGGTTTGTTTATCACCCTTCTTTAGATTTTGAGAACGTTTGTTGCTTCAAACAAACAAAATGCACAAAGTCTACTTCACTCTACTTACCTGTAGAGCAATACTACTCTACTACACAGAAGTGTGGTTGGGGTCTACGAACGAATACTTACCTGTAGAGCAATACTACTTATTCATATTCCCCCTACCGGCAGGTATTTTCCGCTAAGAGTTGTATTCAATAGCGCCCTCTGGCGCCCTACCCATAATACCCCGCGGCATGCGTGCCTCGTGAGCGTCCTCTTTTCTCTTAGTGGCAGGTCGGGTAGGACGTGCGTTAAATAGTTCGCTGTTTTCCTCGTTATTTACTACCCTTTTTTGCGCTTAAGAGAAGTTCATCAGTTTGTAGAGTTTTCATCATCTTCTTGGTTCTATTTATTTCATAAATATGAAGCGTTTGGGGAGGGCCGATCTGTCACAAACCGGGGGGAATTCCTCTCTCACGGGACGGATCGAGTTCTCGGGGGACTCTGCCGTTAACGCTACGACGTTACCGCGGCAGCAGTCTCTCGTCCAGCACCCTCGGCCACAGCCAGCTGGGGGCATTGGCAGTTCCGCTGATCAGTTAAGGGGACCTCGGTCACCTTCTCCGGTCAACTCAGGCGGAACACCCAAACTAAGGGCACACTCCGGCAAGGTTCCTCCAAAACATATCTCCTGTGCCGGAGCAAAGCCTAAGAAGGGCCGTCAGGGCAAGCGTGGGCTCTAGTCACCCGTGTCCTCCCGACACAGTGCCAAACACCACTGGTTGTCGGGATGGGCTATTACACGGGCTACCGGTCCGTCCAGCTCTCACTCAGCCCCCGTGGGCCCACGGGGCCTGAGGTACTGGCGGCCGGGTACGATGCGGAGCCGGTCACCCGGCCCGGGGGGATCCCGGACCGACGGCCCCCGTTCTATCTCGCTCTGAGAGACCACTCTCGTCATCGGGTTTTGTCCGTTGCTCGGGGGTCCCGGTGCCCCAGGTGTCTTCTGACTTGTAGTCAGACACACCCTGGGGCCGTTCTTCAAAGAGGAAGAG